GGGGGGGGATTTTTCTTTTTTTTTTTTACTTCTGTTCATGTCATTAACACTGAAATTTTATTCTTCATCCCATATAGAATTCACTGTCTATCTCTTTTTTCTTTTTGACCCACAAAATATACACATAAGGAATCATGCTTTGTGTGCATTTAAAAAAAATAAAAGTTTGTGCAGAAATATATTTGTCAAACCTCCTCACTGTGATAGTTTGTACATGAGGAATCACGGTCTCTAAGTGTAAGAAAGGACACAAATTCTTTTTTCCAGATTCTTCCTCAAGACCTCCCCTGAAGCTGGAGGGCATTTCCACGTTTGCAGATGTAGAGAGGAAAAGAGTCCCAGCACTGCCAGGGAGCACCAGCACTGGGTCTGTTCAGAGCTGCTCTCTTTGCACTCCCACCCTCTCCTTTCCTGTCCATCTCCAAGGCCTGAGTGCTCTGGCAGCTCAGTCACTGTCCTGCTGTGGGTCAGGCCTGTGAGCACAGGCAGGGACAGGCCCTGGGCACTGCTGGCACAGGGCTGGGCTCCACAACAGCAGTTCCAGCAGCAAAGGGGTTCCCCTCCAGGCACTTCCTGAAGGCTGAGGTCGTTTTCCAACACTGGTGTTGAGAAGAAGTCCAAGGAATAAACTCTCCAAAGTCTTGTTGCTTTGCTTGTTTGTCCATGGAGACAGTGCAGGGAGGTCAGGGACCCACTGGGACTGCAGGGACTGAGGGCTGGTTCACATGTGGTGTGTTAGTGGGCAATGGCCAATGGAGATGCCAAATGATCTCCAAGTCACCTGCCTGGGGCTCTGCAGCTTGTGAGGGCTCTGATGGCAGGTGAGGACTTGTCTGTAGGAACTCAGGAAGTGCAGGAGAGCACAGAGGATCTGCAGGGACAGCCCGTCTCATCCAGTCAGCAGGGAATGGAGCCCTGGAGCAGAATCCTGCCCAGGATGGAGTCACCTTAGATCAAGTCCTAAATGTCCCTGTGAACTGGTAGAGGAGAGTTCTGCAACCCCAGGGGACACAGCAGGAACAGAGAAAGGACTCTGGTCAGTGACTCGTCTCACCCACAGTGAACTCCCCTTGTGCCCCCCCAGATCAGGGGGGGCTGTACCAGAGTCAGGGGTGGGATTTCCAGGAGAGTGTCCTGAAAAACTCTCCAGCCCACAGGTTGCATGGAGTGGAGCCCTGCCCTGCCCTTTGAGCCTTTGGAAACAGCCCATGGTCCTGCCCAGCCTTGTTCTTGGCTACTGAGCCTCCCAGGACTATGGCAGAGGGTGGAGAGGAGTGATCCCCATCCTGCTGGGTCTGCTCCCCACCCTGACCAGCATGGCCAGTGCAGGGTCAGCCCAGGGTGCCACAGCCCCTCCCTGTGCAGAGCAGCACCTCCAGCTCAGGGCCCTGCAGGGATCCCAGGCTGGGATCTGCAACTGGCCAAGGCAGCCTGGACACACTGACCTGGGCAAAGGGATGGCCCTGCAGAAGAGCAAGGCAGCATTTCTGGGCCTGCAGAGAGGAATCCCTGACACAGAGAAACCTCTTCCTGCAGCCCCCCTGGGGACAGGCTGCTCTGTCCCTGGGCCAGGACTCTGTGCTGGGCTGGGCAGAGGGGCTGGCACTGAGGGGCACAGTCAGGCTGTGCTGGGCATCTCCTGGAGGTGACACCAGGGCTCCTGCAGTTTCCCTGACCTCCATTTCCTGCTGCCATGCTGAGTGTCCAGCCCCTGAGCTGATGGGGATGCTGAGACTCCTGTCTGTGCCCCAGGAGCTGCTGTGCCCTTCAGAGGGGCTGGGGCTGTGGGGGGAGTGCCCAGAGCTCTGCAGCACCCTGGGCTAGGCACTGCTGTGGGGCCAGACCAGACTGGGCTTCTCCACCAGTTGACCTCTATAATGAAACCACTTCTAATTTTCTCCTGAAGAACCATGAGAATATGTTGTATCCTGAGCACCAGTCTGGAAATATGGGATAATAGAAAAGGTTTTGGTGTCAGGGATATTGAGAAGGCTGGGCAGTGTCATGGGAGACCTCTCCCAAACCCTTGGAAAGGCCAGAGCCAGCCCAGAGCTTCCTGGGGCCTTGGCAAAGGCAGACATGGAAGCAGTCTGCAAACAGGACAGCAAGGAGGGTTGGGAGAGTTCCAGACTGCTCAGGCTCAGCAGAGAAGGGGATATGGCAAGTCCTCCTGCAGCCATTCCCAGGCATGGGAAGGACAAGGCAGGGATTGCAGAACTCCTGTGGGAGGGAAAAGAAAAGGGATGTTGTGTGCCCAGACTGTTTCAAGGCCTTTGACATGGTCTCCTGTGGAAAAGGGATGTTGTGTGCCCAGACATTTTCAAGGCCTTTGACGTGGTCTCCTGTGGTCTCCTTAGAGCCAGACTGGTGACAGCTGGACTGGATAAGTGAAACATGTGGTGAGTGGGAAGTTGAATGACTGATGAGGCTCAAAAGTCATGGCACAAATTCCTCTTGGCAGCAACTCCCAGGTGACATCCATCAGGGCCCAGCCCTTGACCATTCCTATGGAACATCTTTATCATGTCTCTGGGTGATGGGATGAAATGCACTTTCCACTCCTTTGTGGATGATGCCAACTTCCAGTGAGTCTGTGAGAAACCTCGTCTAGTTAATAGTGACTTGTTAAAAAAATGTGGTCAAGATGAGCAAGTTGGATAAACTTGTCTTGCCATCAGGTGCCCAGCAAGGCCCAAGACAATGAAGGAAAAACTCATGGGTCAGAGGAAAGGAAAATCAAAAGGAGGGAAAAAGACCAAACACAACCAAACCAAACCCAAACAAACACAGAATGACAGAATATGCTGAGGTGGAAGGGACACACAAGGATCATCCAACCAAACCCAACTCTCCCATTGCCATCTGCCCCCACCCCAGCAGGCTCTGGAGCAAAGCACGGCTGAGGTCCAGCCCAGCTCTGCTCTGACAAAAAGAACCTGCAGTCAGGGACAGGAAGAGGACAAAGTCTTGTTTAACCAGCCTGAAGAATAATGGGATCAATGACCTCCTGTATTCCTGGGCACCTGAATGACCCTGTGGAGCAGGTTTGGTAGCAGGGAGGGGGCTGCAGGTTTCCCTTAGGGAAGAGGAGATCAAGAGTTGACTCTGTGTCAGAGAGAGCCAGTTTCAGGTGGCTCCAAAATGCACCAGCCAGTGCCCAAAGCTGAGCCAAAAAGCAATTCCAGAGGCACCTCTGTGATAACCCTTTGGAGAAAGGACAAAATCAAGGGTGCTGGAACCAAGAGAGGAGTGAGAGAAATGTGGGAGAAACAATCCTGCAGGCACCAAGGGGAGTGGAGAAGAAGGAGGAGTGAGAGAGCCTTGTTGGGCACCTGGCAGCCAAAAGCCAACCCCCCAGCCCTGAGAGCCACAGCTGAGCCCAGCACAAAAGCTCCTTTAGGTCTGGAGGTTCTTTGCAGCAGCTTTTTAGCAGAGCTGCCAGATGGGCCATCAAAGGGGATGCTCAGCTGGGTCTGAAACCTGGGTTATCCTTGTCAGCCTTGCTTCTGCAGGATAAGAAAGAACTATAGAATCCTAAATAGTTTGAGTCAGATGGGACCTTTATAGGTCATCTAGTCCAACCCCCCTGCAATGAACAGGGACACGTTCAACTAGATCAGGTTGCTCACAGCCCTTTCTAACCTGGCCTTGAATGTTTCCAAGGGTGGGGCATCTATGACCTCTCTGGGTTATCCGTGCCAGTGTTTCACCACCTTCAGTGTAAAAAATTTCTTTCTTTATATCAAGTTCAAATCTCTTCTTTTATAGTTGAAAACCATTATCACTTGTCTTATTCCAAGTAAGTCTGTCCCCATCCTTCTTATAAGTATGATCTCAGGAGCTCCTGACAAGCCTTGACCAAACCAGCTGAGCAATAAAGAGCCCCTGGACTGGACCAGGGTGTGGTGAAGTGTCCTTGCACTGGACCAGGTGCTCCTGGATGATACAGGTGGGAACAATCCAGAGTGGAAAAGTTGGGGAACACAGGATAATCAGTCATCCTTGAAAACCTTGGAACATTCCCTGCCTGAACTGTAGCCCAAATGGAAAAGTCCTTTTGCAATTCCCAAATGTTTTGGAAACTCCAGTCATTCCTGACTCCAGGATGGAAATTCAGCAGATAACTAAAGCCAGTCCCCTTGGGAGCCCACAACCAGCAGGGCTGAGGGAGGCCCTGGCAGCTCCCCAGCACCTCCCTCTCAGTGGGACACCTCTGGCAGCCTCTCCCAGCTCAGGAACCCTCCAGTTTGCAACACTCCAAAGACCCTCGCTGATGCCCAGGACAATTCTGATCCCCCTCAATAAACACTCCTCCAGCTCTGACCCTTGTCTGTTGGGAAACACAAAGGGATTTGGGGGAGTGTTTC